TCAATTCTTTTAACCGATTCTTACTTTTAAATCTATAAATATGATCTAATATTTCCTTGATGTGACCTGTCCATAGAATCGAAGATATTTCACATTTTCCTTGACAGTGTCCCTATTACTTTACGCTGCAGCCGTATAATAGTGATTAATATGGATTTTTGTTCCCAACAACCTTTATTCTTTCACTGAACATGTCATACTGATATGATAGATGTTTTTCAATGACATTCTTTTTGCTAAATATACAGTCATTGGTCTTATCTGAAAAGTTTAAAATGTCTGTGTGTGTTGTAAGATTATTAGTAAATGATAATTATTATTAATTTTATTAGTATTTTACAAATATTCACTTATGATATTTCAGATGCATATATCTGTCCTAGTGGACAGTAAAGATCTGTGATGTTAAAATAGGGTTACTGAGTCAGTAAAATGGACAGGAGAAAGTGATACTCAGTTCCTGTAGTAGAGTTCACTCCAACAACACACCTTGAAAGATTATTTGAACTCTCTAGCCCCAGTACATTGCATCCACAGCAGAGGTAGTAAATGTTTACTACCTGAAAATTTAAAGAATTAAAGGATAACATTTTATATGAGATGATGCAATTTTTCTATGGAGCTTCTTATGACATATTGTGAGCATTTCACAATGAGAACTTGTGTACTTAACATATCGGTAAATTTATCTTGCATGGGAATAACTTAGCACATATGCCACTTAATCTCTGTTAGCCATCATAAATGGAATCCTGATCACATACAATAGAAGAGTTGTTTACCCCCTTGTCTGCCATACAACACCTCCAATTAATGAAGATTTCTACAGTTCCTTCATTCAGAGAATTCCTGCTGAGTGAGTACTTCTAAAAGCAAAAAGTATGTGGATCACACACAGAAAAGGGGAAACATCAGACCACCATTAGGGACAAGCAGAAGGCCTTCTGACTGCATGTGCTCCTATAGCCATACACTTCAGTGGGGCTGTCTGATATTAAAATCAGCAGTCAATGGCCAAAATGCACAATTGATAGATGTGAATAAAATATTCGAATCATGAATTCATTCATTCCTTAAAGGGGAATTCATGAGTTAAAAAATAAAAAGTAAGCTGGGTGCGGTGGCTCACACCTGTAATCCCAGTAGCTCGGGAGGCTGAGGCAGGAGGATTTTGAGTTTAAAGCCAACCTCAGCAAAAGTGAAGCCTTAAGCAACTAGTAAGAACCTGTCTCCAAATAAAATACAAAACAGGGCTGGGGAGTGCCTCAGTGTTCAAGTACCCCCGAGTTGAATTGCAGAAAAAAAAATAAAAATAAAAAGTAAAAAAGTTAAGTTTATTTTTAAATATTTATTTTACATTGTCAATAAGTATGCATTCCTAGGGAATACACAAAAACAGCAAATAAGAAAAAAATCCTTGAGAAACAACTTAGTCTGTAAAGTTTGATAGGAGACTATTCTGAAACAGAAATGTTGGATCTGAGAAAGGAAGGTTGGGTCATTGTTCACCAGTAATGAAGGAAGAAGCCTTCTAGGATCAGTGAGCAGGAATATGCAGTGGCCCTATCAGACAGTGGAGCTTGGTATAGAAGAGATTTGAGAGGGCAGTGTGACAGAGAGCAGGGGTGTGAGGCCCACAGTGGAGCCTCTGTCACCTTCCGTTATGTCCCAATGACACTGGTAAATACAAGTACATTTGTGAGTTTAAGGTTACAAAGAGTTTTCTTCTTGTTTGCCTTTTTTGAGAATTCCATGGTGTGTGTCACCTTGAAAGTGCTGAAGAAATTCAATGTTGGATGTATAATAAATATGATGCTACATCTAGTATAACAGAGAGGAAATCTTCCAACTGGTCATATGGTTGAATATTGGCACAGAATTTAAAAATTAAATTAAATAAAAGCATTCATGATTATTTTAAAGGAATAATGCAGTACTAGCCAGCAATAGCAATTCTGGGAATGAAAGCCAGATTAATTGTGTTTAAAAACTTCATCAAAAACTAGATCAGTGAAGCAATATCATAACAACAACCTCAGCTTCTGTAATGTACTTGAGAATATTTATAAGCCTTACTGTGTGTAGCAAGCAAGGCTGTGATCGATGATATAGAGTGACTGTTTTCAAGCCATATAAAACATTACAATGTTTGTGCTTAAATTTATGAACATTCCAAGGCAATATACTCCACATTCAACCATTAGCACTTTTCAAAGGGTTGGTAAAATGAGAAGAGGGAATTGGACTGAATGTTAAACATCAGAAATAATCTCATTAAAAGTAGATAGACTATGGACCCTAAAGTTAAACAATAATGACAAAAAAATTGAATTAATAGTAGCTACTGATTAGTAACACAGCAAGGTAAGATGGGAGAAAACAACAGAAAATTCAACCAAGTGTGAAACAAAATAAACAATACTTTGTGCATAATAGGTCTTCAGAGAACTGAACATGAAGGCACATGCCTATAATCCCAGTGACCCTGAAGTATGAGGCAGGAGAATCACAAGTTCAAAGCCAGCATAAGCAACATAACAAGGTCCTTAGCAACTTAGTGTGACCCTGCCTGAAAATTTTTTAAAATTTAAAATTTAAAAAGAGCTGGAAATATGGCTCAGTAATTAAGCACCTCAGTTGCAATCCCTGTCTCTCTCTCTCTCTCTCTCTCTCTCTCTC